CGAATAATTTCCCTCTGCATATTGCGCAAACTCACAGAATGCTCCAAAGCAATCAACTTTGGTTGTGAAAAGTACCCAGTGTACCCTAGATTACCTGAGAAGGATAAGGCATTCAAAAGTTTGAGCAAAAGGTGAAGTTGGCCGATTCATACTGTTATAATATAATAGCAACACGAGTGGCTTTCCCACTAACAGGCACTGCCATCAAGCCAAAAAGACATTATGTCTATCATACAAATGAGTAATTTGGTATATTTGATGAGTGCAAGAACATGCCTTTTTCAGCAATACTCAAGTTCTCTACTACAAATTGCTACTTTTAAATGTTTTATTTACACATCGAGTTTATTAATTGCCTTTCTTAAAAAAAACTATCATTTAATTTGAATTTCAAAATGTTCTCACCTCCATGTACAAAGTATTGCAGCTATTGTAATGTTTTTAAGTTAGATATGTACACCTACCCTTGCATATTTGAAAATTGATACTATAGGAATTTGTTGTACATTATTTTGATTCAAAGGCTGTCAGTTGATCGATTTTAGTCAATTCACATATGCAAGTTGGTTGTCCAAACATGTTAATTCTGTATAATTTATTGTGACTGCATCTGAATCATTCCAATTGAAACAGTGTAATCAGAATTTTGAATCTGAAACATTAAAGCTGCTGCCAGTCTCACCACCCTCAGATGGTAAAGCTGCACCCCTTCCACCCACACGGCACCAACTAATGTTTGGAGTGGTAACAAAAGTCTGGTTTTTACCTGCCCACATATGGAACCAGAACTGATCTTTCCATACAAACATATGTCTTAATGTAACATAAAGCTCAGATTTTGCACAGATTGCAGTTTTTGTTCACGCATTGTGTGCATCCTGCAAGAAAATGCCATCTGGTAGTACATCAAACAAAAAGCTGTAAATCTAGGCCTCATGTTGCAGAAGATGATACTAATAATCCATCAGCCTTATCCAAAGTTATTTGGTTCCACAACTGCACATATTGCACCTCTCTCAGACAGCCAAGGTTTTGAACTCCTCATCTTTTGGACTAGCTATTACCCACATGAATTGTGATAAATCAAAAGGAAATTAACAAAAGAGCATGTGGCGAAATGCAAAACCTTTTTGCCTCAGCATTTTTGGCTATACATTATTTTTTTCCACACACACTAGAACAAAGATTCCTGGTTTATTTTGGTGTCTTTTTCACAATTGACATATATAACCTTTAACATAATCAAAACAGATTCCTTAATAAATAAGTTTACTAGTCACATAAAATGTGATTTTTTTCACAAGAATATGAAAAATAATTTTTCAAATATTGACTCAATTTATTTAAGCAGCTTGAATTAATCTATCGTTAGGTTCTTTAGGTATTCCAATTATTAACTTGCATTTGATTTAGGAAGGAAAGAAAACTCTTTTCACTGAATTTGCCGATAGCAAGTGACCTAATTCCTATTATCCGATCCAGTGCTTTTAAGAACACGGTAATTTGAATGCTTTCTGTCACTGCTCATGTTCCTTTTCTCGTTACATGAATGCTTGCAAGGTTGCTGGGCCCTAGAATCCTTTTCTCAAACAACTCAACAGATGGAAGGAAGGAAATCTGCCCTCTTACTTGGTCAAGTCTACAGTGATTCCAGACCCACAGCACTGTGGTTGACTCTAAATGCTCTCTGAATTGGTCTAACAGTTGAGTCAATCTGCTACAAAGGCTAAAGAAAAGGAATGAAACCAGACAATCACCCAGCATCGAACTAGGCACCATAGATAATAACAACAAACTCAGCCCTTGAAATGCTGTAAAGTCCTCCATACAAACATCAAGGAGGTGGTGCCATAATTGGGAGCTGTCTCAAAGACTGTTCAAGTAACAGCCTGAAATATTTATACTCATGGAATCATATCTGACAGACAGTGGTCCAGCCACCATCAATAACATCCCTGGGTATGTCCTGTCCCACCGGCAAAATAAGTCCTACCAGAGCCATAGAATCACAGAATCCCTACAGTGCAGAAGAAGACCATTCAACAAATCAACCTGCACCAACCCACTGAGGAGAATCCAACCCAGTCCCAGAAATCCACCCTATACCTATTACCCTGCATTTAGCATAGCTAATCCATCTTGCCGGCACATCCCTGGACACCATGGGGCAATTTAGCATGGCCAATCCACATAACCTGCACATCTGTTGAACTGTGGAGGGAAAATGGAGCACCAGAGAGAAACCAATGCAGACATGGGGAGAATATGCAAACTCCACACAGTTACCCAAGGCTGGGATTGAACCTGGTTCCCTGGCTGTGAGGCAGCAGTGTTAACCACTGAGACACCATGCCTCCCTATGGTGGTATATAGTTGGAAGGGAGTTGCTCTTAAAGTTCTCAACATTGAAGTTTCATGGCATCAGGTCAAACATGGACAAGGATATATCTCCTGCTGATTAATAACTACCACGCCTCCTAGGTGATGAATCAGTACTCACTCCTTCACTTTGAAAACCAGTTAGAAGAAGCACAAATGTATTCTGGGTGTGGGACTTCAAGCTGGCTTAAAGGCTCCACTATTAGAACATAGAACAGTACAGCACAGGAATGGGCCTAAGGTTCTTGAGTAGATTTGTAGCTCAGGTTGTGGATGCTGTGGTTGGTTTGCTCGCTGAGCTGGTTCATTAGTTCGCAGACGTTTCATTACCCCGCTGGGTAACATCATCAGTGCAACCTCCAATGAAGCGCTGTTCTGTTTGTCCGCCGGGTGTTTAAACTCTGGGATCTGTTAGAATTTGGTACCTCATTTTCGGTTTTTCTTCGCAGTGGTGTATATATAGAGTCTAATTCTACGTGTTTATTGCATGAGTACCAAACCTCTAGAAATTCCTGTGCTTGTCTCTGTTTGGCCTGTCCTAGAATCCTGATGTCGTCCCAATTGAACTGGTGGTTCTCCTTATCTGTGTGAATGGAGACGAGTCAGTACTGGTCATGTCTTTTTGTTGCTAGTTGGTGGTCATGTATTCTTGTGGTCAGTTTCTTTCCTGTCTGTCCAATGTAATGTTTGTCACAGTCTTTGCATGGGACCTTGTATATCACGTTGGTTCTGTCCATAGTGGGTAAGGGGTCTTTGGTTCAAGTTAGCAGCTGGTGTAGGGTTGACATAAGTTTGTGTGCCACTCTGATGCCCAATGGTCATAGGAGTCTTGTGGTCAGTCGGAAATGTTCTTGATGTATGGTAACGTGACGAGTGTGTCAGGGCATATGTCACCATGATGTTGCGCTGAACCTGACGCCAAATTAAACTAATCCCTCTACCTGCACTTGGTCCATATCCCTCCATTCCTTCCATATTCATGTGCTTACCTAAAAGTCCCTTAGATGCCCCTATTGCATCTGTCTCCACCACCATCCCTGGCTGCACGTGCCACACTTCTACCACTCTCTGTGTAAAAATAACTTGCCCTTCACATCTCCTTTGAACTTTCCCTCTCTCACCTTAAATGCATGCCCCCTTGAATTAGACATTTCAACTCTAGGAAAAAGATTCTGACCATCAACCCTATCTATGCCTCTCCTAATTTTATAGACTTCTATCAAGTTTCCCCTCAGCCTCTGCTCCTCCAGAGAAAACAACCCAAGTTTTTCTAGCCTCTCCCAAGCAGCCGAAAAAAACTGCAGGTCTACAGAGAACAGATAGAGGAGCAGGATTAACTGAGCTGCTCTTGCAGGGAGTCCGCATGAACATGACTCACTGAACATCCTCCTATGTTTCTAGTACTGTAATATACTGGCTTCAGATATCAATTCCTAGCCTATTTCTTACTTATTTGTTTGCATTGTCACTGGAAAACTTACTTTATCCTGCAATGACAGTCCATCTGGACCAAACTGAAATACAATACAACAAGCTGGCAAAGCCTGTTAAGAGCATACACTTTTCTCCAGCTACATGGCTTCCTGAAGCAGAAGTCTTGCAGCAGTATGGCAACAAACATGCGCGTGACAGAGAAATGCAGATGAATGGTGACATCAACAGTCAGAGACGGGCATGACAAGGAAATCAGGCAGGTAGTGAGATCGAATGTCAGGGACTCTACAATTGACCAGTTGTTTGTTGGAGACCATAGACTTAGAAGGGCAAAGGCAGCAGATGCATGGGAGCCTGAAAATTCTCCTCGAAGCCATACACCATCCAGACCTGAAACTATATGACCTGTTACTGGGTTAAAATCATGAAACTTCCTCTTTGCACGACAAGCAGATCAAGAAAGCAGCTCACTATCATTTCCCTTAGGAATGTGCAATTAATTCTGGCTTGGACCACATTGCCCATATGCCATGAAAGAATAGAAAATAAAATTATTGGTAGTTTGAGTTTTGTTTACACAAGAGAAATTTCTGCAATGGCTGATATTTTGAAACTTTTTAACTACCATTTTCGTGCTTTTTCAATTTTCATGACAAGATAATAAAGTGAGAATTAGAGTTGTATAAAGCTTCGGAATTCACAATGTTGTCCTCCATAACATAGTTGCAATTAGATCGATACAAAACCTAGTTCATGTAGAATAATTCTAAGCTTTTTCACTGACCTTTTTCTTTTCATAATGCTGCCCAATGAGGAACTGGAAAACACATACAGTTTCTTATTCTCTCTCACTTCATATTAAATGTCAGTGATGCCCAACTGTAAAATGAATTGGTCTAAATCATCAATCATTGAACTGAACTCAAGTGAATGCAGGAAAAAAAGCTTCACTGGTTTGTTCAATACTTGAAATGTGACCCAATTTTTACAATATTCTGTGAAACCTGAAATTTAGAATGCAAATTTTGTGGTGCAATTTTATTAAAATTCTTCTGCTCAGTTTTAGTAACAAGTTAAATTAGTTTTTGATAACCTTACTGCAAGTTATTTTTTGAAGGAAAACCACAGATTTTAACAATTGAATTGCTTAATGCAGAGAAATAAGAATGCAATGCATTCAGACTCACCTGTGCCCATTTCATTGCTGAAAATGGGCATGACCTCATTATCCAAACCTGCTGGAGAGCCATCCTCCAGTTCACCTTCAATTTTACAAATTGTCTTCGCAAGCGAGAAACTGGTAACGTCTTCTGGAACTGCAACATCATCAGCGACATGTAATTCAATTGTTTTGTGTTTAGTGCTAAAATTTAAAAGAAAGTTTTAGTGTTAATTTCCTGCTGCCAGTTCAGAATATAAGTTGCTATTCTGGGACCGATATATTTAAAACATGGCAACTGTGGGGAGTGGGGATTTTACTTGTAAACATGTCAGGAGCAGTGAGGAACAGGAGAACCATAAGAATTCTTGAAATTGGAGCAGGAGTAGGCCATTTTTTCACCTTTCAATAAGATCATGGCTAATCTGGTCAGAAATCACGTGACACCAGCTTATAGTCCAACAGGTTTATTTGAAAACACAAGCTTCTGGAGTGTAGCCCCTTCGTCAGGTGAAGTAAGAAAGAAGCACACAGAACACAGAATTTATAAGTATTAGATCAAACGGTCACACAATTGATGAGGATGTATTAAACAAACCAAAGATGCTGTTAAATCTTTAATCAGTTAGAAGGTTTTAATTGATTAATATGTATATGTAAATCTCCAAATTTCTTTCAAGTCACTGCCTTGAGAAAACCGAAGGTTTTATCAGTGTAAAGAGGAGATGACATTTTAGGTCAGACAATACATGTTAGGTGAGACACCTTGTTTAGAATCTGTTTGTGTTTTGGTTTGCAGTTAGACTGGTTTTGTTTCCAAAGTAGGAATTTATAAAACACCACATTGACTATCAATGAATTGTGTGCTTTTTGAACAAAATAGAATGCATCTGCAAATAAAAATATACCCGAAAGATTTATAAGTGTGTGTGTGTGTGTGTGTGTGTATGTGAGAGAGAGAGCGAGGAAGGAGAGAAAGAGAGAGTGTGTGTGTGGAGCGGGGGAGAGAGCAAGAGTGAGTGTGTGTGTGAAGAGGGAGAGAAACAAAGTGAGTGTGTGCATATGTGTATGGAGGGAAGGAGAGAATGAGGCAATGGCACCCTGTGTGAGAACCTCTCTGGCTATGTTGAGGGCATCTTGAAACCTGTTGTACAGGGAAACCCCAGTTTCTGTCACAATGTTACAGATGACTTACAGAAACTCAGCATCCATGGACAAGTCGAACCAGGAACATTCCTCAACACAATGGAAGTTTTGGCACTCTACACCAGCATATCCCACGATGACAGCATTGCTGCAACAACTTCAGTACTCAATATCGCCTACTGCCAATTTCCAGACACCATCCGACAGCTAACTCATCTGCTTCGTCCTAGACCACAACATCTTCATTTTGGACAACCAGTTCTTCATCCAGACACATGGAACAGCCATGGGGACTAGATTTGCAACCCAATGTGCCAAAATTTTCATGCACAAGTTCAAATAACACTCCTTTGCTGCACAGAACCTCTGACCAACGCTATACACCAGATATATTGACAACAATTTCTTTCTTTGGACTCATGGCAAGGAATCACAGAAACGAACGACATATTCATATCAACAAGTTTCATCCCACCATCAAACTTAGAATGGAATATACTTTCTCTCTCACACACCAACTCACACACAGAGACGTACTGTCTCTCACTCACACACACACTCTCACGCACACACTCTTTCACAAACTCTCACACACACATACATACATTCTCTCTCACACACACAAAATCTCTCTCACACACGTACATACACACACTCTTCTCTCTCTCACACACATAAACACAGTCTCTCTTTCACACACATTCTGTCTCTTTCACATACACACACAACTCTCTCTCACACACACACACACACACACACACACAGACAATCTCTCTCTCTCACGCACACACACACAGACAATCTCTCTCTCTCACGCACACACACACACACAATCTCTCCCTCTCACAAACACACACACACAATCTCTCCCTCTCACAAACACACACACACAATCTCTCTCTCTCACAAACACACACACACAATCTCTCTCTCTCATACACACACACACACAATCTCTCTCTCTCATACACACACACACAATCTCTCTCTCTCACACACACACACAATCTCTCTCTCTCTCACACACACACAATCTCTCTTTCTCTCTCACACACACACACACACACACAATCTCTCTCTCACACACA